AAAGAATCCAATTGGTCGAATCCATGAACTCGGAAAGCCCTGATTGGCTGGTTCTCTAGCTCTAAAGAATCTGATTGGTTGAAAGCGTGAGGCCGAAAACTTCTGATTGGCTCGTTGTTTAGCTTGGAAGAATGTAGTTGGTCGAAAGCGCGGGATCGAAAACCCTTAATTGACTGATTTTCCAGCTTGAAAGAATCTGATTGATCAAAAACACGAGGTCGAAAACTCCTGATTGGTCGGTTTTTAGCTTGAAAGAATCTGATTGGTCGAAAGCGCAAGGTCGAAAATCCCCGATTGGCCGGCTTTTTAGCTTACAGAAATGTGATTGCTCGAAAGCGGGAGGTTGAAAATCCCTGATTGGCCGGTTTTTTAGCTCGCAGAAATCTGATTGGCCGATAGCGTGAGGTCGAAAATCCCTGATTGGCTGATTTATTAGGTTGAAAAGAGCTGACTGGCCTAAAGCGCGAGGTCGAAAACTCCTGACTGGTCGGTTTTTTAGCTTGCAGAAATCTGATTGGTCGAAAGCGTGAGGTCGAAAACCCCTAATTAGTCGATTTTTAGCTGGCAGAAATCTGATTAGTCGAATGCGCAAGGTCGAAAACCCCTGATTGGTCGATTTTTAGCTTGCAAAAATCTGCTTGGTCGAAAGCGCGAGATCGAAAATCCCTGATTGGCTGATTTATTAGATTTCAAAAAGCTGATTGGTGGAAAGCACGAGGCCGAAAATTCCTGATTGGCTGATTTATTAGGTTGAAAAAAGCTGATTCGCCGGAAGCGCGAGGCCGAAAACCTTTGATTGGCAGGTTTTTTAGCTTGCAGATATCTGATTGGTCGAATGCGCAAGGTCGAAAACCCCTGATTGGTCGATTTTTAGCTGGCAGAAATCTGATTGGTCGAAGGCGCGAGATCGAAAACCCCTGATTGGTCAATTTTTAGCTTGCAGAAATCTGATTGGTCGAAAGCGCAAGGTCGAAAACCCCTGATTGGCTGATTTATTAGGTTGAAAAAAGCTGATTGATGGAAAGCACGACGCCGAAAACCCTTGATTGGCAGGTTTTTTAGCTTGCAGAAATCTGATTGGTCGAAAGCGCGAGGTCGAAAACTCCTGATTGGACGGTTTTTTAGCTTGAAAGAATCTGATTGGTCGAAAGCGTGGGGTCGAATACTTCTGATTGGATAGTTTCGAAGAGTGAAAGTCCGATTTGGTGATCTTATGTTTTTTTGACCTTTGTGTTCTTTTGACCCTGGCACAAAGCCCGCCACAAACGCTTTTGAGTTTTTTCCGTATCACCCTCTCTTCAGTCGAGGGAATAATACACAGAATCGAACATCTACTTAGTATTCATGTATGAAAAAGAAGTAAACAATTGCTTTAAATTCTCCTGCTAATACCTTTTAATTAATTCTGAAAAACACATACGTATAATATTTCACATCTTTCTATAGGTTTATATTTGTAGTTTACTTTTTTAAATATAAAATAATATTCTTTGAAGTATGAAAGACAAAGTTAAAACTCTATTTTTTGTTTTCTTCAACTATACTCAATGATTTTATTTTGGATTAAGAGTAATACGCTATTGACTCTTGTTGTTTTGCTTTGTTTTCTTTTTTTTGTTTTTATATTTGTATAAATGATTTTCTTGATTTAAAATGTTATTTTTATAATAAATCACAATGAATTTGAAATTTAATAACGAAAATCAATTGGACTATTTCTTCTTTTACAATTTATTATAGCAGCAACATGATTTGGTCTTCTCTATAAAAACAATGACAGACATATTTTTATCTTGAAAAACTAAATAGAATAAGCTTCACAATTCTCAAAAGTTTTATAAAGATTATCGTGTTTTATGCAGCTATTATATTGTCTTTTGAAGATATATTGAATTTTATATTTTCGATCGAAACAAACGAGTTGAATTCATTGAAATTTTTCGGTAATTCAAGTTTCAAAAATACACTTTTTAACTTAAGATCTCTTATAGGAGATCAACTTTTGGTATATATAGGGCAATATTTTCTAGCAATCAATGACATCATCCTTACATTTCCTTTATATGTATGTCCTGTTAAAGATATTCTTTAATAATTTGAATGTTTTATCATAAATCAAAATCTAAAGACTAAAATAAGAAAAGTTCAAAGAATTTGTTAATAAGATGATTCTTTATGATATATTGTTCTTTCTAATATTCTTTAATGAAATCTAATGGTCATATCTAATTTATATAGTCTAATTTTGTTAAGTCAACTTATTTTAATAACTTTATTAATATTATTCTCATCTTCACAGGGTGATTCACAACCTTTACGCCCCCCAGGTTCGACCTTAAGGTAAAATGATTTCAATAAGTATTTTATACCAAATTGAAGCCCGTAAAGAACTGCGTTTATTGGTACTAAATGATAAAGGTTATGAAGACCTTTTAATGTCGAACTTCCGAGATTTTAAGAAATTTGCTACCAATTTTGGTGTAAAAAAATAAGGTGCCAGTAATTGAAAAATGAAATAAAACATTTTTCTTAGATATTTTTACATGATTCGCTAGAGCTCGACGAACTCTAAAAAACTATATATTTCAAAAATACTTTGAGCCATCTTTTTTCAGGTAAAAAGTCCAAAAACTGCTTGGAAAATCACGAAAAATATTTGAAAACTTTACTTTTTCATATGGAAGAAAACACTCGATTTTTCAATAAAATTAAGTTTTATTCATTATTTTTGCTGTCTCAGACGTTTTGAAATGTGTTCATTCGATGCAGTTTTTCACGCGGCATGGAATGAGCACATTTCAAAATGTCTCAGCTAACATAATTAATGAAAAAAAACTAATGTTATTGGAAAATTGGGTGTTTTTTCATACGAAAAAAAAAAGATGAATTTTTTTATATTTTTAAGGATTTTTCGAGTAGTTTTTTGGACTTTTTACCTGAAAAAAGATGGCTCAAAGCATTTTTGAAATATATAGTTTTTTAGAGTTCGTCGAGCTCTAGCGAATCATGTAAAAATATCTAAGAAAAATGTTTTATTTCATTTTTCAATTACTGGCACCTTATTTTTTTACACCAAAATTGGTAGCAAATTTCTTAAAATCTCGGAAGTTCGACATTAAAAGGTCTTCATAACCTTTATCATTTAGTACCAATAAACGCAGTTTTTTACGGGCTTCAATTTGGTATAAAATACTTATTGAAATCATTTTACCTTAAGGTCGAACCTGGGGGGCGTAAAGGTTGTGAATCACCCTGTATATACCATACTAAACATTAGATACTAATTATCTAGAGACATTGCAGCAGTAAATATCTATTAAAAACAATATACAAACAAAATCTTAAGTGAGTTGTGAATGATCGTTGTATGACTTGTCGAAGAACTGGAGACCAACTCTTATTTGTTGTGTACATCTCCGGTGTATATCATACAAATTTAGAAAATTTTCATTGTATTTTTGTCAAGTCAAAAACTGCTTATTTAGAAAAAGAGAAAACATCATAAAGTAAATAAAGTTAATTTCATATTATATACTTTCAAAACAATTTTTTTTATTCAGTTTTTTTATTTTTGCGTTATTTTTATTTGACATTTATTATACTTTGACACATTTGTTTCCTATGTTATTTTCATATTTTATTTTAAAAATCATTGCTCTCTAAGACACATTATTATTCAAATAGTAGCATGAGCTAATTAATATTAACTATTATTAGAATGAATCTTCATGATTTATATTCTATTATTTATCTTTTTTTTTTTAACAAGAAAATGAAAAAAGAAATCTTAATAAAGGAAGTAATCCTATTTAAGGATATTTACAGATGCTATTCTAAAAGAGAAAATCTTATTGAACGATGAATTAATCATTAAGAGTTCTTCATATGCAAACAGATTCGATAAAAAATAAAACAAGTCATTTTTTTTCTCTATCAATAATGTTCTTTATATTTATTAATCAAAAATAAGTAGTACAAGATCCAAAAAAAAATAACAAGAAACAGAAAATATAACAATAATGAAACAAAAAAAAAATCTAACCAATTAATTATCTGAGTTAAATAAATCACCTTGACTTTTACGTATATTAGAACAGTACTTCAATACCATCCTTGATAATTTTAAAATCTGATAAATTGTCGATTAAATTTAATAAATCATTATAATTTTTATTCTTCTGTTTTAGATCAGACCAAAATTCAAGTGATGCAGCAACTCTTAATTTAAGCGAAGAAGATTTCCATAAGTTGAATTTTTTTGCAATCTCTTTATTCTTCATAAACATGATAACATTTAATGCACACGTTAGATCAAACGTTCTTTCATATTTATATGTATGAATCATTTCCGCATTAAGTACTACTACCTCTGAATAAAGTTTCAGAAATTCAAGACCAGCATATAAAACAACACCTTCAATTCCTAATTCTTTTGTATTTTCATTATTTTCCAATGTTGTAGCGAAACCGAAATCAATCAATTTTAAATGATTACATGTTTCATCGAACATAATGTTGTTTGGACGTATATCTCGATGAATGATACCACATTTATATAAATGTTCAATGATGCTAATAAGTTGTTTTGCTTGTTGTAAATTTATTGATGTTAAAGCTTTCAATGGATCTTTAAATAATATGAATTTACCTAAAAAGAAAATCAAAATATATTATGAACAAGATAAAATATTATTTGAATGATGCTGACAAAAAATGTTGAATAAAAAACAAAATATTTCTTATTATTTTAATAAATAAGAATCTAATTTCAATTAAATAATTTATTTTAATTATTTCATGATTTAAAACAAATTATAATTTAGATTTTAGAGTTTTTCTATTGAAATTTTGGAAATATTTTCTTTAATTAAGAGTTAGAAAATTTGATTTACTTTAGAATCATATTTATATTTATAAAACAAAATAAGAAATATCTTTCAATATATAACTAACAATAATCGAAGGACATTCTATTGAATTTTAATAATAAAAATTTTCTAATTTTTATTGATTAATTCTTAATTGATCTAGAGATTTGACTTATTTTAATACTTTATTTAATATAAATCAAGAATTTTTTCTATATTGAATAATTTATTATTATCATTATAGAATAACATAAAATATTAATTCTTATTGATTCAATTATCTAATTCAATTCATTTACTTAGTATATAAACTTAAAAAAAATAAGCAATCAATTATTAACAAAGTTGTTATTATTTTTTTTATTTCAAGAGTCTTTTATATCATTTATCGAAATTCATATTCAATATTAGAATAAATCCGATGAATTTCTTTTATTTCAAGTTTAATACATTAAACAAAACAATTTTGAATTTTAATCTTAATTTTTCGAAATGCTTAAAAAATATTCAAGAAAATCTTTCTTAAATAATTTATATTCGAATTTTTCTATTAATTATTGAAAAATTTCAAGAAATTACTTGGTCTTCATTCATAAATAAAAAGAAAAACATTTTCTAATCTCGATAAAAAAAAAAAAAAACAAAGAATCAAATTATTCATTTGATGTATGATAAATATATTCAATCTTTTTTCTTGTTTCTAATCTAATCAAACCTTCAGCAATTTATGCATATAAATATAATTATGAAAAAAAAAAAGAAAAGTTTTATTTTATCATATTATATTAGAATTTCAATTATAAATCTTTTCATTTCAATTTTTATACTTTGTTTACATAGAAATAAATCTTAATTTATATAGTTTTCTTTTCTCTTAATTATTATTTATAAAAAATCTTTAAAAAAATCTCTAACATTAGAAAATGTCATTTTCAATTATTTTTTAAATTTAGATCGATTTTGTTTTTCGAATTCTTTTTTTTGTATAAAATTAATAAAAAAGAAAAATAAATACATAATTCATAGTAGATTTTGATCTTTTAAAAACAAAAGTTAATTTTTTAATTATTTATTTATTCTAATAATGTATTTGTTTTTCTTTTATTCTTATTCTTATTTAAATAAATTCTATTGAAATTTTTCTTTAATTATACTTTGTGTAAATTCTTTGAAAATCAAATAAAATTTTCTCTATTCTCTTTCTCTTAGTAGATTTTCAATTAATTGAAAAAGTTCTAAAAAACAATCAATTTTTTTCAATAGAAAAATATTACCTTGAGGTGACCATTTTATAATATTTGAAAAAAATTTAGATTCATTTGAATTTGTCAATTCTTTTAATTGTTCTAATATTTTAATTTCGTTCATAAAAATTCTTTCATAGCTCATAGATTTAGAAATTTTCATTACACGAGATATTCGATTAGTAGCTCGTTGATTATCATCTTGATTAACTAATCGATAGGCAACTGAAGTAACACCTATTCCTAATCTTTGTTTTATATGAAATTCATCACCATATAAATCATCATTAGGATTTATATTTAACATTGTATATTGATAAAAGTCAGGATTCATTGTTAAAAATTTCATAAATATTTCTATTGTATCTTTATTAAGATATGTATCATTATTAAAATATAATTTTGATCGGTTGTTTGATTTTTTTTTCTTAACAGTCGATGTTAATTCAGATGAAATATGCAACATTTCGAATATATCACTTTGCCCATATTTATAGTAAGGCTGTATTGTTTGTTTTTGAACACAATAAAATCTTATATATCGAAGATTTGTTATAAAACCATAGATTTTTTGACGATTTTGCACATCTAGTATATGAGCCAAATAACGACATAATTGTCCAATATGATCGAATGAATCAATACCCTCACTTGATGATTTTAGTTCACCAAGACAAATAACAAAATCTTGTAAAGATGCATATTCACCCTTATTATTAATATTAATATTTTTATATATATAAGTACAATCAGAACGTACTATCTGTTTTAGATATTTCAATTGAGATGTGTTTAAATATTGTAATGATGTTAAATTTTTAAATGTATTAAATAATTTATCCATTAAATTATTCATTGTAAGTTGAATTTCATTTTCTGACATATTACTATATAACTTGAGTTGATAAAAATAGTTATGAAAAATCTTGACCATATTATCATCAATATTTTTTTCATTATTTAATAAAGATTTAATATCGAAAGAAGTTAAAGTCTTTACTACAAATGTGTTGTAATAATCCAAATCAGTTAATTCTGAACTCAAGCGATCACTTGATATAGATATCATTTGTTCACCATCTGTCATGAATAGCTTTCGTGCTTGAATACCTTCTTCTTGGTTTTTTCTCTTGAGTTCAAGTTTTAATATTTCTTTTTGTTCTTGGATTTGTTTTAATTTTATTTTTTCGATATTTTCATCTATTTGTTTTTGTTTTAATTTTTCTTCTTCTTGTTTTGATTTTTCTTTTTCTTCGTCTACTTTTAATTTTTGGAGTAGTATTTGTTTGTCTATATCACTTGTTGGAGTGTTAAGCGGATTTTCCATTAATCTTCTAATCGAGTAATCAAGATTCAAAATTTATCTATAAAAAAAAAGAAAATTATTCTACGATAAAAATATGAAAATGAAAATGAATATTGATAATGATAAACATTCGATTTATATTTGTTTAGAAACAACAACATCATTATGTAACATAGACGTATCGTTAATGCCCTCGTTAGAGAAAATACGAAGAGAGGGCGCTAAATGATGATTGAAATAATCAATTCTTATATAGAATAGATGCTTTAAATCAAAAATAGAAAAAAATTATCATTATAAATTCGTAGTATTATCTCGAATATTTTTTTTCGTAAAATATTCGAGATTTAATAGATTAAATTTAAATAAATGATAATCTATTCTATTATACTTTGCAATTCTTGATTCGAACTTAGTCTCATGATGAAAGAATAGATTAATTCATAGATATTATAGAAATGAATACAAGAAGAGAAAAATTGTTTTTTTTGTATTTTTTAAGCTTTCGGCTTATCTTCAAATAAAACATTTTTGCTTATTCGTTTTTTTCAGTAACAAACAAAGGAAAACATTATATCTCAATTCTTTATTATTGTTTTGATGATTTAGAGAGTCTAGAATTGAAATATTTCTTAAGTAAAAGAAAAAGGAGAAACGAAGTAAATTAAATATGAACTAGACAAATAAAGTGAGTATATTTTATTATGGGATTGTATGTAATTAGTGAAATCAGAAAAAAAAGAAAATAACTCGAGAATATATTTGAAGATATTTTCTAAATTATCATAAAGTATTGCTTATGTATGATAAGATTTTAATGCTATAATGTATTGCAGAGATGGGAACAGGACAAGTTTTTCCGTCCTGTCCTGCAGAAAAACTCCGTCCTGTCGCTCTCAGGACAGGACAGGCAAGAAGCAGGACAAACATAATATCTTTAATTTTCTATTAAGTACATCATATATCACATATTTCTATCATCGTCTAATCAATTTATTTTATAATTTGATAAACGTCAATTCTCTTTTTGAACAACTTTTAACTGAATAAATACAAAAACGAACACGACGTACTAAAGGGTGTCCCAAAAGTTTCGACCACTTTCAGTAAAATCAATAATATCTATATCAAACTTATACGAAGGTATTGATCAAAGTATGTCATTTTGTAGAGGACGAGAAGAGCTATCATCTGAAAAAAAAACACAGTTCGAAATACATATATTTATTACAAAGCTATGGTCATTTTACTAATTTTGAATGAAAATTTTTACGTTGTATTTTTTGAAAAAATAAAAAAATTTTTGCAATGTTGCAGTCATCAAGATCAATCGAAATATGATTTTCTACATTGTCTCAGTAGATATTTTTATATGATTCGGTAGAGTTCGACAAGCTCTACCAGAATATGGATATCTAAAAAAAATTCGGATCCTCTTTTCAATACAAAACTTGAAAGAAATCAGCTAGACTAATAAAAATCTGGCATATGATGCATTGCAGAGTATACTTAACTTTCAATAACTTTGGTAGATCGACTGTTCAGTCTATTACTTTATGTTTCGAGATACTTTATTACGTACTGTAGGTGAAAATACTGTTTCCAAGCCTCAAAAACAGATCAATAGTCGATTAACTCAAGTTATTGAAAGTTAAGCATACTCTCTTTAATGCAAGATATATGAGATTTTCATTATTAGTCTTTCTGCTTTTCTCCCAACTTTGCATCAGAAACAGGATCAGCAAACTTGTTGATATTCATATTCTTGCAAAACTTGACGAACTCTATCGAACTATATAAAAAAGTCTGGAAAATAATATTTCACTTCAAATATTATAAGAATGTTTTGTTTTTTCAAAAAATGCAACGTAAAAATTTTCACTCCAAATTAGTAAAATGCCCATAACTTTGTAATAAATATATGTATTTCGAACTGTGTTTTTTTCAGATGACAACTCTTCTCTTCCTCTACAAAATGACATAATTTGATCGATACTTTCATATAAGTTTAATATGGATATTATTGATTTTATTGAGAGGAGTCGAAACTTTTGGAACACCCTTTAGTTAATATGTGAAATATTAACTAATTGTTACAAGTAACCTAATATTCAAAGCAAAAGTCTTTTGAAATTCATCCGAAAACTACATATAAAAATACAGGACAATGTTGTGTGTCCTGTCCTGCGAAAATTTCCGTCCTGCCGCTCACAGGACAGGACAAAATTTCTAGTCTTGTCCTGCAGGACAGGACAGGACAGCAGGACGGCGGCATTGTCCTGTCCTGTCCTGTTCTCGTCTCTGATGTATTGTTAGTTAGTTTTGTTTGAGTTAGAATTCTTCATTAGAATCTAAATTAGAAGAAAAATAAAGTAGAATATGATAACAATTGAAATTTTAAATGTTCAAAATTTTTCTATTTAATATGAATATCTGTTTTATTTATAAAATAGATTAATGATTGTTTTCTATTAGAATTTAATTGATAACAATAAATAATGTCTAAAAAAAATGAAAATTTTCTTTGTATTGTATCAATAAATTATCAAATCAATTACTAATTTGAATTCTACCTTAATTTATTGTTATTGTTGTTTATTGTTGATATTAATTTATAAATTCACTATCTAAATATCATATTATTTCGAATGTTTATACAAATTAAAGGAAAGAATCTAATCTATGTTCAATATTGGATGGTTCCTATTGATTCTATAGGAGATATATAACATCATTTTTGCTAATGGAATGAGAAACAATTGTTGAATTTCTTCGAAAAAATTCGAAAACTTAACCAATATTGAAGATCCGTTACGATTTCAACAGTCATTGACCGGACTAGGTATTAATGAAACTTTTTTATATGGATATAATTAAATAAATTAGAGATTGTATCAAGAATATTCAAGAATTTTCATAGCTTCAATAATTCACATTCGGGCTAGTTCTATTGATTACCAATCTCTTAAGCATTTTTAAAAATTATAAATAAAATATTTTAGAATAGATAAGAATTAAGTTTAATTTGATAATTAGGACATTTTCATTTCTTGAAAAAAATTATTTAAGAATTAAATTTGTTTTTTTTTGTTTTATTTAAATTCAAGTAAATTCAATTTTTGAATAATTTAACTTGATTAAATAGAATAATAAAGTTTATCTATAAGGTTCGAGTTCTTTTTTTCATAAGTTTCATGTATTCGAATGGTAAAAATATAAATATTATAACATGAAAAATTGATTTATTAATTGTAGTGAGTGTATGTTGCTTCATGCAGATGTAGAGAATAAAGAATAACATGAATAATCGACGATTATCATTTTTTTTCAAATAAACAAATAAAAGAAAAAATAAGATTATCGCAAGGGAGAAAGTGCTGGAACCCAGCACCCTGGCACCTCAGTACCTGCTCAGCACCTCAGCACCTGCTCAGCACCTCAGCACCTGCTCAGCACCTCGGCACCTGCTCAGCACCTGCTCAGCACTTGCTCAGCACCTCAGCATCTTCTCAGCACCTTTGGTACTGAAGGGGCTGAGGTGCTCATACTATAGCTCAAGGGTTAAAGGTCAAAAGTTGAGGTCCTGACCATTAACCTTTGAACTATATGTATGAGCACCTCATAAGGATGCACCAGGTTCAGTTCAGAACTGGAGGACTGGGTCCTCATGGGCTATTATTTAGAGGCACCCTCCGGTCCTCATGGGTTACTATTTGGAGGTGCCCTTTGATCCTCATAGGCTATTATTTGGAGTATCCTTAGGTCCTCATGTACTATTATTGGAGTATTCCTAAGCCCTCATGTGATATTATTTAGAGGTACCCTTAGGTCCTCATATACTATTATCTAGAGGTACCCTTTGGTCCTCATGTCCTATTATTTAGAGGTACTCCTACGTCCTCATATGCCATTGTACGACTGTATACTGCGGTTCTTACGCCTTTTAAAATTCCTCCACAGAATAAATATGAGTCCACCGTGTAATAGAAGTCCATACGGAACAGGAATCCACTCCCAAGGTTATCGCTTTCGAAACACACTAGAAGGCTATCTATCCGAAATGAGCACAGAACAGATACTTTTGAAAACTGATAAGCGAACTCATTGCTACTCAGTATTTAATTATAGACCACTTTTATATGTCGCAATCGGTTTGCCTTGTATATACAGGTGTTTGCAAAAAAACTTGGAAAATTCTTTTTTAAACAAAAAGCCCGTTTCTCTACTATTATAAGTAACTACAAAAGTGATTTTTTGCGGGATAAACTCTCGACAGATGTACTACATGTCGTATATATAGAAGTGTAATTTCTTTCCTGTTCGATATATATTCATTCAATTATGCCGTCGACCAGTAACTTGAAAAATCATCATATTTCAATTTTGTCTTTTTGGAACAGGGGCATACGATCTGCTTCTCTTATTCATCGTGAAACAAACATTCCACTGAGCACTATTGTTATGTTCGAAGTGTTCCCCTTCGAACATAAGACGGAACGAAACGAATAACACACGCTCCTTTCTAGTATAGTGATAGTACAGCTGCCCGGAAAGCAGAAGACGTTGGTTCGATCCCATCGGAAGGAGATTACTCTTTTGTTCCGTTCTGTTGTCATACCATCACGTTGCTATCTCGGTGATAACAAAGAAAGAAAAAGAGACGACATAACAACTATTTATTACAATATTGACAAATTAAAACAAACAGGTTCACTTAAACATCGAGGTGAAAATCGTCGACTACGTGTTCTCGGTGGAAAAGAAAAAAAAGCTATTGATCAATACATTCGGTATAACAATGAAATTACTCTTAACGAAATAAAAGAAAATTTATCGAAAATGCACCAAAAATCAATGTCTACATCGACAATTAGTCGTCACCTTCACAAATATGGTTATAAAAATGTTTTACCTCAATCAACTCACATGTTAACATCGGATGAAAAACAACGACGTGTACAATGAGCCAAGAAGCATATAAATGATGATTTCAATAATACAATATTTACAGATGAGTCCTC